CCTCCTTCCTCCCCTCTCCCTCCTCCCTCCTCCCTCGAGGACTGCGGAGTCGCACGCCGTCAGGAGGGTCTTTCCCTTTCTCATTCCCCTCCTCCTCTGTCTTCCCCTTCGCCTATACCTCCTCCTCCTCCTCATCTTCCTCCTCCCCCTCAACCTCCTCATCCTCATCCTCCTCCTCATCCTCCTTTTCCTCTTCCTCAGTGTCCTCCTCCTCCTCCTCCTCCTCCTCCTCTTCCTCCTCCTCCTCCTCAGTATCCTCCTCCTCCTCCTCCTCCTCCTTCTTCCTCCAGAATCGAACGTTTTGCTGCTCCCCCCCAACACAAAAGCGGAACGGTATCCTGATCCTGTTTTCTTTGGGGGGGAGGGCTCCCTATTCTCTTCCGCGTTACCCCGCTCTCATCGTTCCTCTCCCCCCTTCCCTCCTCCCCTTGACCTCCCCCAGAATCGCGATTTTTATGTATCTTGCGCACCCCTCCCCCAAACAAAAAAACGCGGCGCGACCTAAGGTTTTTGTGTTTGGTATCGTTTTTTGCTGTTGGGGGGGGGGTCCTCTTCCTCCTCCGCATTAGCGCTGCTCCGCTCCCTCCTCCTCCTCCTCCTCCTGCTCCTCCTCCTCCTCCTCCTCCTCTTCCTCCTTGCCCCAGGGTCTAGTTGTTTCTCCTGCACTCCTGTTCTTTGTCGTTGGGTGGGGGGGGGGCTCATCCTCCTCCTCCGCGCTGCTCCGCCGACTCCTTGCTCGATCCTCCTCCTCCTCCTCGCTCCTCGCTCTCTCGCTCCTCGCTCCTCGCCCCTCGCTCCTCGCTCCTCCTCCTCCTCCTCCTCCTCCTCCTCCTCCTCCTCCTCCTCCTCCTCCTCCTCCTCCTCCTCCTCCTCCTCCTCCTCCTCCTCCTCCTCCTCCTCCTCCTCTTTCTTCAGAATGTAGTACTATTTTTTTGTTTTGCAATTGTTTTTAAAGGGCACGTCAGGCCAAAACCCCCGGCGGTATTTTCGAGGCCACGTGAGGCATCCACATTACAATGCCTAGCTGGACAGCTCACCAGTGCAATGGCTAGGGGTAGCAAGCCGCCCTGACCTAGCAACCTGACCTCTGCTCGAAATCCGGCTGGAATCCGCCAAGATGCGGAGGCCGACAAGGGAACGAGGGAGAAGAGGAGGAAGACGAGGCCGAGGGGGAAGCAACGACAACCCCAAAGCGAAGAGACGACAACGCGGGAGGACAGGACACGAGAGGGGAGGCGACAGAACGAGGAGATAAGACAAAAAAGAGCCAGAACGACACGAGAAGAGCGGGACCGGGCCTCAGAGCTGGAGCAAAGCTGGAATGAAGATGTGGATGGGAGCAAAATTGGAAGCAGCCCGAACGACGACGCGAGCAGGCCGCCGTAGCACATGCGGTTGAACCAGCTGCCCACCACCAGGGAAACCCACGCCAATGCCACCATTGATAAATGTTGCCCACAGAGCCCCCTGTTTCCAAGTAGCGGCAAAATGCACAACCACCATTGTCGGGGCGGGTTATGAGGATCGGCACAGCGTAACCTGTGCATCCATGAACGCTGCAACACGCCTCGCAGCTGACATTATATCGAGGAGAAGGCCCGAGTACCCTCCAACTCCAAGCCATTACAGAATACAACAGAGTCCCAATCAGCAGAATTTCAACGCAGTGTCGAAGGATAACCAAGAGTTATCGGTGTTATAAGCGTGGAACGAATCAGCGAGGCTAGCACGAGCCAGGAGCGCCCCCGCAAGCGACCCCGCCTCAGAGGGGCGGCGTGGCGAAGACGGCCGCCAGCATCGGCTCGCCTCCCCGATGGGCCCGCGGCGCGGCCCTCGCAGCGGTTGAGGCCCACGGCCAGGCGCAGCCAGGCAGCGATCCCCAGCGACCGAGAGGAGACGGACCGCACGGCGAAAACTGTGACGCCCTCCGTGACAGCAGCAAGCCGGCCCTGCCATCAGGAGGCAATCGACGATGACGAGGAGCTCTGGGCAGCCACGTGGCGGATGGAGATAGCCGCCTGGCGGAACGCGACGCCGAGCATGATCTCCTCGCGGTGGCCGCTCTGGGCGCCCAGCTCGTGGTGCCGCCTAGCCTCCATCTCGACGTGCTCCAGGATCATGTGCGTCTCCATGCCGGCGGAAGAGAGCAGTCGGACCTCTGCCAAGGCCTGGAGGTATGCGGCACTGCGCTTCTGACACGTGGGGGCCCACAGGGGAGCCCGCAGAGAGGCCCGGCGATCATCTCCTCGTGCTCCATGGGCTTCGCGTGCCCCAGCGGCGGCTCGGGCGGCAGCGGCTGCAGGGGCTTCCTCATGCGCCAGCAGGCTGAGGTCGCCAGGCTCCTCAGCCAGGGCGCGCAGGTCGCTCCGGCCCTCCAGCAAGGCGGGGCCGCTATCCGGCAGCTGCTCCTCCGGCAAGCGTTCCGGAAGGATCGGGGCCGCGGGCGGCCCGGGCTCGCCGTCGGCGCCGATGCCGAGGAGGTCCCGCGAGCCGATCCAGGGCAGCACGCGGCCCCGCCCATAGCATGGGAAGGGCGAGAAGGTGCCCACGGGGACAATGACGTCCTGCCACCAACACGCCGCCAGGTCGCCTGCCCGGGGGCTGTCCTCGCGCTCGGTGTCAGACTCGTCGAACTTCGTGATGACGAAACTTGCACAGGTGCTCGTGTGAGCGCCCTCGGGGGCGGGGGCGTCTCCGCGCGCACTCAGGCGCTCCAATCCACCTCCGTCTCCGCCCCGCTCTCCTCCGCGGTGAAGGTATCCACGGTCGGGTCCAGCAGCGGCGTTTGCGTCAGAGGCGGCAGCGCCATCGCCCCCGCGTCGCGGCCAGGCTCCAGCACCATCGCCACGTCGTCGCCAGACTTGATCGTGCAGTCGCTCGTCGGCTGGGTCTCGTCGGCCTGCCGCGGCCCCGGCGGCGTGAGCGGCGTCTGCAGGCGCACCAGCGGGCCGCCCTCGGCCATCAACGGCGTCTCGATGTGCACCTCGACCCGTTCGTGCTTCGGCGGGTCCCCCTCGTCGTGCGTTGGCGGCTGCTCGGACAGCCGCGGCGGATCCTGCCCAGGCAACAGCGACGGGGCCGCAACGACGCGCAGCATCGATGCTAGCTCGAGGCGCGTTGCGGATGCCCGCTGAGCCAGCGGGCATTGCGTTGGCATTGGATTGGCCATGGCGTTGCATCGCATTGGCATTGCGCAAGCATGACGCTTGGCAGTGCGTTGGCATTGCGCTCGCATGTCGAAAGTATTGCGCTGGCGGGTCCTAATGGAGCCCCCAGAAAAGGACTCAGATTTAAACCCTCTGCCAGAAGGACTCCTACTGAAACCCTCCACAAAAAGGATGCATTCATATTGAAACTCTACACCGAAGGATTCAATGCGAAGCCCTCCACATAAGGATCCCTACTGATATCTATCACGCATGCTGTCCCCGATTGGCGTTGCATTAGCATTGGGTTGGGGTCGTCTTGGCCTTGACTTGGAATTGCGTTGGCATTGCGCTGACATTGCGCTGGCGAGTTCCAATAGCTCCTTTCGTGGAAAGGTTCCAATTGAACCCCACACAAGAAGGATTCCGATTGAAGCATTTCACAAGAAGGGTTCATATTGAACCCATTCGAAGCCCTCCATCGGAGGAGTCTTATTGAAACCGACCACAAGCGACTTCCCCCCAGGCATTTCATTGGGATTGGATTGGGATTGCCATGGCATTGGTTTGGCATGACGTTGGCACTGATTTGGCGAAGCGCTGGCGAGTTCTCATGGCTCCCACCATAAAAGGATTCCTGATGAAACCTTTCACACGAAGGGTTCCTTTTGAAAGCCCCCCACATGAATGGTTCAGGGTCAAGCCCTCCACAAAAGGATTACGGCCGAAACCCTCCACAAGAAGATTCCTATAGACATTCCTCCGAAGAAGGATCCGTAACCAAATCATCCACAGAAGGATTTCTCTTGGAATCTGCTGAAATACTGGAATCATGCCATTGGCATTGCATTGGCGTTGGTTTGGTAACGGTTTGGCATCGCATTGGTATTGCGTTGGCATTGCGATGGCTGTGCGTTGGCATTGCGATGGCGTTGCGCTGGCGAGTCCCAACTCAACGCTCCACATAATGGTTCCGATTGAATCCGTCCACGAGAATGATGCCTACGGACCCCCCACAACAAGGATTCACATTGCAATTCTCCGCAGAAAAGGCTCCATGCGAATCCCTCCATAGAAGGATGCCAATTGAAATCCTCTGGAGAAAGGTCCTTCGAAGGATTCCTTCGTGGATGGCATCATCAACAGAAGGGTTCTTAGACGGATTGCTATTGAACGCTACCACAAGCCATCCTCTCCAGTGGCGTTGCGTTGGCATCAAGTTTGGATCGCCTTGGCGTTGGTTTGGCATTCCGTTGGCACTGCGTTGGCATTGCGGCACCCCTTCGCACAACGATTCCTATTGCAACCCTTCGCAAGCAAGATCCCTTCTGGAATGTATCACAAAATGTTCCCCCCCCCATTGGCATTGCATTGGCACTGGATTTGGGACCGCCTTGGCATTGTTTTGGCATTACGATGGCACTGCTTCGGCATTGCGTTGGCATGGCGCCGGCGAGTCCGAAGGGCTCCCTCCGCAGAAGGACTCCTACTGAACCCCCCACAAGAAGGATTCCGCGTGAAACCCTCCACAGGAGGATCCCGATCGAAACCCTCCACAGAAGCATTCCTATTGATATCCTCCGAAGAAGGATTCGTAATGACACCGTCCACAAAGGATGCTTATTCAAATCCACCGAGCGAGAGGATTGCCCCATTCACACTGGATTGGGTATTGTGTTGGCATTGCGCTGGCATTGCGAGTCCTTGTGCCTCCCTTCGCACAACGATTCCTATTGAAACCCTCCAGAACTAGGATCCCTTATAGCATCGACCACGAAGCCCCCCCCCCTTGGCATTGCATTGGCACTGGTTTGGGACCGCCTTGGCATTGGTTTGGCATTGCGATGGCACTGCTTCGGCATTGCGCTGGCGAGTCCTATGGCTCCCTCCGTCGAACAACTCCTACTGAACCCCCCACAAAAAGGATTCCGAGTGAAACCCTCCACAGGAGGATCCCGATCGAAACCCTCCACAGAAGCATTCCTATTGAAATCCTCCGAAGAAGGATTCGTAATGACACCGTCATATTCAAATCCACCGAGCGAGAGGATTGCCCCATTCACATTGGATTGGGTATTGTTTTGGTATTGCGCTGGCATTGCGAGTCCTTATGCCTCCTTTCGCACAACGATTCCTGTTGAAACCCTCCAGAACTAGGATTCCCTGTAACATCTACCACGAAGCCCCCCCCCCTTGGCATTGCATTGGCACTGGTTTGGGACCACCTTGGCATTGGTTTGGCATTGCAATGGCACTGCTTCGGCATTGCGTTGGCATTGCGCTGGCGAGTCCTATGGCTCCCTCCGTCGAACAACTCCTACTGAACCCCCCACAAGAAGGATTCCGCGCGAAACCCTTCACGGGAGGATCCCGATCGAAACCCTCCACATAAGCATTCCTATTGATATCCTCCGAAGAAGGATTCGTAATGACACCGTCCACAAAGGATGCTTATTCAAATCCACCGAGCAAGAGGATTTCCCCATTCACATTGCATTGGCATTGGCATTGGTTGGCAATGGATTGGCATTGCATCGGCATGCATTAGTCTGGTGCAGAAGATAGACAGAGAGAGACAGAAAGAGAGAGAGAGAGAGAACACGAGATAACGAGATAACGAAAGAAGCATATTATGAGGGGATCGCGGCGAACACAACCATGCCGACACAACATCAAAGTTTATACATCAAACCTCCCTCCTTCCTCCTCCCTCCTTCTCCCCTCTCCTCCTCCTCCTCATCCTCCTCCTCCGCCTCCTCCTCCTCCACCTCCTCCTCCTCCTCCCCCCTCCCCCTCCCCCTCCCCCTCCTCCTCCTCCTCCTCCTCCTCCTCCTCCTCCTCCTCCCTCCTCCTCCTCCTCCTCCTTTTTTGCTCGACTGGCCTCAGCTCCAAGCTGTGGCGTTCTCCTCCTCCTCCTCCTCCTCCTCCTCCTCCTCCTCCTCCTCCTCCTCCTCCTCCTCCTCCTCCTCCTCCTCCTCCTCCTCCTCCTCCTCCTCCTCCTCCTCCTCCTCCTCTTCCTCCTCCTCCTCCTCCTCCTCCTCCTCCTCCTCCTCCTCTTCCTCCTTCCCTCCCCCCCTCCCATCCTCCTTCCTCCCTCCTCCCTCCCTCGTATCCTCCTCCCTCCTGTTCCCTCCCTCCCTCCCTCCCTCCCTCCCTCCCTCCCTCCCTCCTCCATCCTCCCTCCTCCCTCCACAGTTCGCGCGCGCTCAGGTTCTCCAGGATCCCATCTCGCAGTGAGATGTCGAGGGTTGGGCGACCGTTGTGGATAGGACTTCGGTCCGAAAGCGGTACGGGAGCACGCAATAAACAGCCCTTCTCTAAGCACGGAGGTCTCCAGAAGGACAACGAAGAGGACGAGGGAGCCGTTTTGGAGGTCGAGAAAGAGGGGAAGAGCCCACGAGCATGACGGCGACGAAGACGAGGGCAGAACGGCACGGAGAGACAGAAGCAGGATAATCGGAGCCTCTGAAAACGAAAAGCAAAAAGGAGGACAGACAGAAGGGGCCACCCTGCCCCTCGTCCACGAGTGCCCCTCCGGACCATCCTGCCACCGTGCCTGGGTTGTTGGTGTGACAACTCTTGAATGCCTGCTCGGGTCTCGTGGGAAGCCTCTGGGCAGCCTCGTGGAGGCAGTTTCGAAACCTCTTGGGGCGCATTTCGGGGCCTTTTTTTGGCTTCTTGGGTCCTCTTGGGGGATCCCTGGGGGCCTGCTGGCGGTCTGCGGGGTCTTTTGGGGGCGAAGGCCCCGAAATGTCGATTCGAATTCTCCGCCTGGGGCCCCTCTTGAGGCCCTCTTGGGACCGTCCTGGGCGGTCATGGGTACTTCTTGGGCCGTCTTCGGTTTTCCTAGATTTGCCTCTTCGGGCCCTCTTGGGGCAGTCTTGACGCCATCTGGGGCCGTCGGACAGCCATCTTGGCCCGCCTTGGACCTGTGCCGCAAGCTCCAGGGGGGGGGGCTGGGGAAGCTCCGGGGAGGCTGGTTCCACAGAGTTGTCTGGGTGCCCCAGGTGGTCAGGGCCCCAGGGGCCCCAGGTGCCCGGCTTCCGGTACACAAGACATGTGCTGTACTGTACAGCGGTTTGTTTCACCATCTTGCCAATGCACCCCTGACGTGCACGGCTCTCTCTCTCGCTCTCTCTCTCTCTCTCTTGGGAGCCTCTTGGGATCCTCCCAGGGGCCTCCCGGACGCCTTTTGGGAGCCTCCTGGGTGTCTCTTGGGGGCCTCTTGGGGCCTCTTGGGGGCCTCTTTGGGCCTCCTGGGGGCCTCTTGGGGCCTCCTTGGAGCCCCTGGGGCCGAAAGCTCGGAATTTGAATATGGTTTTCCACCTCTGGGACCCCTCTGGGGCTCGTCCTGGGGCTATCTTGGGTGGTCTTGAGGGCCTCCCGGGCCGTCTTCGGATCCTCTTGGGTCGTCTTGGAGCCCTCTTGGGAGCCTGTGGGGCAGCCTTGGGGGCCTCTTGGGCCGTCTTGGACGCTGTGAAAGCCAAAGAGGTACATACGCGAAAAATAGACGTGTCCCTGAAAGAATGAAACGATGTTTGCCTCTTGGGGCCCTCCTGGGGGCCTCCTGGAGGCCTCTTGCGAGCCTCCTGGGGGTCTCTTGGGGGCCTCCTAGGGACCTCTTGGGGCCTCCTGGGAGCCTCTGAGGCCGAAAGCTTGGAATTTGAATATGGTTTTCCACCTCTGGGACCCCTCTGGGGCTCGTCCAGGGGCTCTTTTGGGCTGTGTTGGGGGCCTCTCGGGCCGTCTTGGGACCTTCTTGGGGTCGTCTTGGAGCCTTCTGGGAGCCTGTGGGGCAATCTTGGGGGCCTCTTAGGCCGTCGTGGGCGCTGTGAAAGCCAAAGAGCTACATATGCGAAAAATATACGTGTCCCTAAAAGAATGAAGCGATTTTTGCCTCTTGGGGCCCTCCTGGGGGCCCCCTGGAGGCCTCTTGGGAGCCTCCTGGGGGTCTCTTGGGGGCCTCTTGGGGCCTCTTGGGGGCCTCTCCTGGGAGCCTCTTGGGGCCTCCTGGAAGCCTCTGAGGCCGAAAGCTTGGAATTTGAATATGGTTTCCACTTCTGGGACCCCTCTGGGGCTGATCCTGGGCCTCTCGGGCCGTCTTGGAACCTGCTTGGGGTCGTCTTGGAGGCCTCTTGGGAGCCTGTGGGGCAGTCTTGGAGGCCTCTTGGCCCGTCTTGGACGCTGTGAAAGCCAAACAGGTACATATGCGAAAAATGCACGCTTCCCTAAAGGAATGGAGCGAATTGTGCCTCTTCCGGCCCTCCTGGGGGGCTTCTGGGAGCGTCACAGGAGGCGTCGGGTAGGCCTCTTGGGGTGTCTTGGGGGCCATCTTGTGCGTCTCGGAGCGGCTTGTGCGTCTTGGAGCGGCCTGTGGGCGTCGCGGGTCCCTCTTGGCGCGTCTTCGGGCTCTCTTGGCGCTTTCCGGTGGCGTCACACACACACAAACAAATTAAAAAAGGCACACACACACAGGGCCTACACACAAACACACACACACACACAAAGACACACACACACATTTGTGGTAGAGGTCGCGGCCCTGGCCCGGGCCCTGGTCCCCTGTTATATGTATACTACTCCCCTCTCGCCCCTGATGACGTTCGGGAGATCTCCGACCCCCCTCCGCGTACTGATTTTTGACAGACAGGACAATACTCGTCGCCACGAACTCCAGGGCCCTCTGCGCGGCGTCGCGCTGCGCCAGCTTCTTGGAGGAGTGCCACCCGCCCGCCAGGTGGTGCGGCACCCCGTGGAGGTAGCAGCTCACCGTGGCCATGAACTGCTGCATGCCCCCGCCGTGGGCCCGGGCGTCGAAGCTCCACGAGAGGATGTGGAGGAGCGAAAAACTGCTGGCACATACATTGTTGGAGGTCTGCGCGGATTTCTTGGATCGGCGCTGGGCCCCGCGCACCGGAGGGGAGCCGAGCGCCGATCCAAGGAATCCGCACGGGCATCCGAAAGTTTATGTTTGTTTCGTTTTCTGCTCTTCGGGGATGGAGCGGTTCTGAGCCACCGGGAAGCGCTTCGAGCACTGCACGAGCTCCTGCACATGCCATGAGGCAAATGGGCCTAGACGGAAGCGGGCCCAGGACCCCCAAGGCCTTCCCTGGGACCTCATGCAGGACCCGTTTCTGTCACCCGACATCCGATGTCTTGATTTGTTCCACGCGGGGGCGCCAGAAATCCCGAACCTTTCCCCAGAGCCAACTTTTCCTCCTGAGTCGTCTCTTGACAGCCCCAGGGCCCCGCGAGTGCGCGAGGAGGCCGAAAACTATGAAAAACCGCTCTCTTGATGTTTCAATGCGTCGGATGTCTGTGCTCTCTGGGTCAGGGCCCGTCTTGCTTCATGGCGGCCTGCAGCTGCGAGATCGGCCCCTGGGCCGCTGGCGTCAGCTCGGCAGCTGGAGGCCCTGGCGCAGCGGGTGCGGCGGAGGCCTCGCGGGCCGACGTCCCGAAGAACACCTGGCCCACCCGGGGCTCCATGGCCCCAGCGGACACACCGAGGGAGCCCGCGAGGCGGCCTGCAGAAGGGCCCCCCCGAAACACATGAGGCCAAATTGCTGCGGAGGCAGGAAGAGGATGGTGAAGCCCTTGTAGAATCGCACTGTTTCAGGTCCACGGCCAGTGGACTCAGAAAAAGGAAATCGGTCAGACCATCTTCATCAGCATCATCATCAGCAGCAACAGCATTATCTCACCAGTCGAATCATCACCTTCACAACCACCATCAGCATTGCCCATCGTCCTCATCATCACAAACACCAGCATCATCAGCATCATCAGCATCATCAGCATCATCAGCAGCATCAGCGTCATCATCACCATCAGCATCGCAATAATCAACATCATCATCATCATACTTATAATCAGCATTACCATCCTCACCACCATCATCACCACCTGCAGACTGAACACCACGAGCATGAACATCATCCTCATCATTAGCATCCTCACCACGCTCAGCATCATCATCATCATCATCATCATCATCATCATCAGTAGCGTCATGCTCATCATCATCATCATCATCAGCAGCAGCAGCATCATCAGCACCATCATTAGCATCATCAACAACATCATCATCACCATCACCATCACCATGATCAACATCAATACTAATATCATCATCATCATCATCATCATCATCATCATCATCATCATCATCAGCAGCAGCAGCAGCAGCAGCAGCAGCAGCACCATCATCAGCATCAGCATCAGCATCAGCGCTAGCATCGTCAGAAGAATCATCTTTCCCAGTACGCCTAAATTTTTCCAGGCCCACTGTCAATGGTCAAATGCATGGTTAGACCTTAGACCCTCTTCTAACCACTTCGTTGCCCGTGTGAAGCCCTACCCCCTCCCCTGCAGCAGAAGCCTGGGACCCCAAGCGCGCCGCAAGCCTCCACGAGACCACCAGACCAGGAACCCGGCCCACAGTGAGGAGGGTGAGGGGAAGGAGCAGGGGGGCAGCCAGGAACGCCAGAGCTGGCTGGCCACTGCCCTTACACGGGCTCTGGCAAGTTTGCCGAGCACAGGGAGAGGGATGAACGAGAGCATGAATATGAGAACGAAGAGGATTATGACCACAAGGCGTGACCAATGAGGCATGAGGACGGCAATCGTTATGCTTACGATTGTGTGGAAACATTCGGCAACAATGGGAAGGATGATGAGGGTGAGGGAGGAAAGAGAGCATGACAATGCGGATAAAGACATGACGAAAATAATTAGCATGCTGATGGTGAGGCTGATGGGGCACGCTTCCAGAATGAAACTAGACCACCGAATCAGACCACGTAAATTCCAGCGTATAGCCGATCAGGCAACGCCCGTCAATCAAAAGCCCAGTCGAGCACCAAGCTGAACACACACGAAGAGGAATGCCGATGCTGATGCGGATGGTGATGATGGAGATGTCGAGATCCAAAGGCGGGGCGCAAGCGAACATACCCGCCTCCGCCGACAAGGTGACTGGCGCATGGTCGACTCTTCCCGGTATCGTCGTTGTCGTCGTCTCCGTCGTCGACTGCCCTCGTCGTCGTCGTCGTCGTCGTCGTAGTCGTCACGGCACGGCGGTAACGCGGTGGGCCTTGGGGCGTAACATTCCCTTCACCGGATTCCTCTTGGCTTTCGGCGCTCCGCGGGTTTCTCCCCTGAAGTAGATTGAATGGCCAACGCATGCACCTTGCCGTAATGACCACACGAGCGGGTGACCCTGGTCACTCAGCACACCCGCTCGCAAGGTCACTCGCTGGCTTCGTACGACGGTCCTCAGTTTACAACGGATCCGGGGCCAGAGCTTGGAACGAGCGCTTCTCGATGTCCGATGGCCCACCTCGCCCTGGCCCCTCCCGATCCCCCTTTCCAGCCCACTTCCGCCCCCTCCCGACCCTCCATTCCAGCCCACTTCCACCCCGTCCCGACCCGCTCCTCCCAGCTCATGCGACGACGGAGGAGGGAGAGAGAACGAGCTGATGGGGAGGAGGGAGGAATTGAGAGTTTCGGTGGCTTCCTGGTAGTGTGTTGCCACCTGTTCACCTGTCAGTGGCCCGTCAGTGGTCTGCCAGTGGTCTGTCAGTGGCCTGTCAGGGATCTGTCTGTGGACATGTCAGTGGACCCATCGATGATTGACTTGTCGTGGATCGGTGAGTAGCCTGTCAACGACCTGTCAGTGACCTTTCAGTTGACCCAACAGGACCTGTGAGTGACATGTCAGCGACCTGTCGTCACAGCTCCTCTGACAGCGCTCTAACAGGTTACTGGCAGGTGAGTTGGCAGGTCACCGACAGGACATTGAAAGTTAGCTGACAGGTCACTGACATGTCCATTGATAAGTCACTGACAGGCCCACTGACGGGTCACGGACACGTCCCTGACAGGGGAGGAGAGACGAGGGCGTCGGTGGTCCAGGGGGGGCCCAGATCGCCAGATCGCGGGCCGTGGGAAAGTCCTAAAAATTGTCAGACGGGGGGAATGGCGAGGAGTTTTGAGGGGTGCAAGGTGGTTCTGGGATGTCAAAGGAAGTTTGTCCAAAGTACGGTAAGGTCCCGGGACAAGTGTAAAATGATTCTCCATGGCCAGAGTGGAATGTCAAACGTTTGCGCCTTGCCAGAAAAATCATAAAAGTGGGTGACCCAAATCACCCCGGCCATCTGAGTCACCCGCTCGTGTGGTTACCCGCTGGCGTTGGAATACGTCGATCAATGCGCGTGTTGCCATCGATTGTCCCATTTGCACGGGCCCTAATCCGCCAGGTTCGGGTTCCGTGTCTTTGACGGCCACGGAAAACATAGACTACTACCATCAAGCCTGCCAGTGCCCACCCTACGCGCCGCTGCCGTCGGCATTCAACGCCAGCGGCGGGGTCGCCGCCGATCGACACGACACGAACCTGGCGTAGACTTGTAGCTGGCTGAGGGGAGCACAGATTCATCCTTGGAAGAACTAAAGATCGGGTTGGGGTTCAAGCGGGGGGAAAGTTAGAAGTGCAAGTTCGGAAAGCAAAGAACACAATACATCGAAAAGTGCAATGTCCAGGGGGAATTCGAAGAAGTTCAAATGTTTGGGCAGAGTTTGGAACAAGTTTGAAACAGTTTGAAACAGTTCAAAAGTTTAGAAACAATGTCGGGAAACCCTTAGGAACATTCAGAAACCAATCGGTAGTTCACAACAGTTCAAGAACGCTCCCGGTGTTCGAAACTTCTTCGACGCCGAATTTTGCCCAACCTTTCCCAACTGCAAAAGTTTAGCTATGCTTAACTTGAATATGTGTGCAAGCGTTGATATTGCGCAAGCTTCCGAACTTTCATTCACCAGCTCAACATGATGGTCGTCTGTGCCGCGTCAGCCACTTCCAAGCCAAGGTCACCTAGCTTCGCGCATCGCACCCCGCGGTGCGCAACGCACGGTTACCTTCGCGCCATCGAGCCGCCGCTCTGGAGATTGGCGCCTCTCCATGCCAAGCCGCGATGCGCGAAGCGCGATTATCTTCGCGCCCCTGGGGGTGACCTCGAGGACGCAGCACACGTATTGCCGATCAAATCGTCTCTCTGCTTGCTCGACGCAGGTCGGCGCAGAAGACTGAGCGGAACGGACTTGCGCTCTCTTTCTGGAGCAGCGTCTGATCGCCAGCATCGCGCCAAGGTACGATGAGGTTGCAGGGCACGACAAATCGCTGCCAAGGTGCCCCCCGCGCCCGAGGTTGCCTCGCCGCGGGAGCGTGCTTTCGGTGCGCTCCTGTCTGTGATGTCCGTGACTCCACCGCTGCTGTTTCGTATGCTCACTGCCTGTCGTTTTCTGCCCTGCTCTCATCCTCCACCGCCTCCGCCTCTTCCGGCCGAGCCTGAGAGAGTCCATCAGCGCATACACCTTGTCCGCCGTCTCTCGGCAGCGCTCGGACGTGCCACGGTTCTCCTCCTGCGTGGGGCGCTGTGGGCACGCTGGTGGACAGGAGGGGGAGAGCGAGAAAACACCCCTCCCCCCAAACCTTTTCTTTCCACTCCCGCTTCGATCCTTCCTGCTCGCTCCTCGTTCCTCCCGCCTCCTCTTCCTCCTCCTCCTCCTCCTCCTCCTCCTCCTCCTCCTCCTCCTCCCTGCACCCGCCGCTTCTCCTTTCATGTGGCGTGAAGCACGATGGCACGAGCCTGCCATTGAGGCTTGGGTCATCGAGTTCCCGCAAGAAAACAGGGCGGTTAAGAGCCCCAAGATGAAGTCCGTGGATTTCTCGAGCGGTATTGCTGCAGCTGTGAACGATGAGGTTAGCGAACCGGAATCCTGCCATTCACACCGGCCGCGGAACGTTCTAATTCCGTCCAACTCAGCACTTGCAAATAGAGCTCGAAATCTCGATGTGCCACGCGGCTGCCGAGTACCAGACTGGGCCTGCTCCACCGTCTGGGTGAAGCACGTATTCTAATTTTGCACACGAACAACTCCCGCAGCCACTGCAAACTTTCGCCCCAACTTCATGGTGTGAATCACCATGTGGACGGCAATCTAGTTTCAGCACGGTCGGTTTCACTGTGCTGAGAGTGTTCCCAACCGTTTTATCATCCAACCCATGTCCACTGAAACACACATTTCAACGGACACGCGAGTAAACAGAGGGAGTACACCTTGACTCATTAACGCCGCACCATGTTTGACGACTTGCGCAAGGGCTCGCCATCTGTGATAAAGCAGAAGGGCCGTTCTGGCCCCACCCACTGCGCACATGGGGCGCCTTCACCATGCGCGCTGGTCAGTTCAGCGAGGCTCCGAAGGTCCTCCTCCCTCATCCCTCCGCTCTTCTTCTCATGTGCCCCTTCCTTCTACCCCTCCTAATCTTAATCCGTATCCTCCTCGTTCTCCTCCATCCTTTCCGCCTCCTCCTCCTTTTTCCCATTCGTTCCAATCCAACCGTCCCTTCCTCCACTCCTCCTTCCTCCCTCCTTGAGGGACAACGATCGGGGGAACCAGCTCGGGGGGGGGGGGGGGGACCTGGAATCGGCGATACAACGCCGATAGATCGACGGTAAGCCCCCGATAGCGAGTCCGCACGTTCCTGGGCGGGGCGATCGATGG